TTCTCGCGGGGGTTTAGGGGGAAGGCATCAAGTCGAACTGAGCTCTGACAGCTGACAGTTCCTCCAATTTGAAAGTAGAAATCCCATTAAAGGAACATACAAGGTCTTCTTCCCAAACCTGGCCCCTTTGGTGAGAAGTTCACCTCTGCCTAACAGCTGACAGTCCTGCTTTGGTGAACTGATTCCTTTGGATCTCAGTCTCCTTCCTTTCCTCTTCTTCTTTCTCAGTTTCCCCAGCACATGGATCTCACAACAGCAGAGGTGCTTTTAGAAGAAAAATGGTTCTAAAAGGCAGCCCCAGGAGGTTCCAGGCTGCACTGAGCCAGCCCAGATTCCCCCTTTGGAAAGCTGGGGAAATGCAACTTTCCCCAGAGCCACAGGCACAGCTCCTTCCCAAGGCCCCGTCCTCTCCCAAGACCTGGTTTGGTCTGCTCTCTTTGCAGCTATCTGTATGATATCATCTCAAAGGAAACAAAGGCTCTCATTTTTTTAAAGGCTCATTTACACTCATTTGGACCTGTAATCCCAGATGCTTGGGAGGCTGAGACAGGAAGATCTCAAGTTCCAGACCAGCCTGGGCATCTTAGCAAGACTCTGTCTTAAAATAAGAAAGGACTGGGGAGGTAGCTCAGTGTCACAGCACCCTTAGGTCTAATCCCCAGTACCGGACGGGTGGATGGATACATACATGCATACAAACATGGGGCTATTTTGTCTCCTCTTTCTATAATTTCTCTAATGACACCCTGTGGTCCTTTTAACCCAACTCTCACAGCCGTTCCCTTACCACTGATTCCCCAAGGGCAAGAGTGCTACAAAGGAGGGGTTGGTTTGTTTTTCTACAGGATGACCTTGGTAACCTTGGCTTATGTCTGACCACTCAAAACAAAGTAACCAACAAAACCACTTACATCTGGATAGAATCAAGTACAAGTTTATAGCTCCTCTCCTGGTGGTGTGGCTTTGAGTGTAAGTCCTCCTCTTACTAATGGAGGTTATTACTTATTGATTTCTGCTCTGTTGAAAGACGACAGGAGGATGACGACTGTCAGACCTGCCTCAATGCCTCAGAGGCAGGGCTGGCTTCTTGGAAACTCACCCTGGGCAGTAACATGGGCCTCGGGCGTTAGGAAGGTCCCACACTTAGTTTAATGCTGCCACAGCTATCTTCAGATTCTTAATAATTTTTGAGCAGCAGGCCTCCCAATTCCATTTTGCACTGGAACTTGCAAATTCTGTGGCCGAAACTGCTCAGGCCATCGGGCATTTTACCCGGGACCCCACGCAGCTGCTCAGCTCGGGTCTGTCTGGGGCAAGTGCTCTGCAGTGTCAGTGAGGAGAGGAGGTCTCCCTGTTCTCGTTGTTCCTGTTCCATGGATACCTGCATGCACAAAGAGAGTCCGGGGTGGGGAGACTGGCAAGGTGGAAGAGAGGACAGAGGCCCTCGGCCTTGGACAAAACAGAATCGATAGAGACTCTGGCAGGAAGAGCCCCAGTCTGGGCTGGGAACCTGGCTCTCAGCTTCCTTCCTTCCATGCTGGGTCACAGGGCACCCAGCCCCAGTGCCCTTCCTGATGGTCACACTAGGGACTGATCTCTTCCCTGTTGTCCCAGCTTCCTCTGGGTTGGCTGGAGACTGTGATGTGGCTGCAGCATTGTGAGTGACCCTGAGGTGATACAGGGCAGGAGGCAGAGCACTAGTTCAAATCCTTCCTCCACCAGCCCTGAGCTCTGGCAAGAGAACCACTTCCAGCCAGTTTCCCCAGCTGAGAATTTTCCTAGGACCTATGGGAGGACGGACAGGAAAGTGTTGAAGTAGAGCCCCCAGCAGAGCCCAGGGCGCGGACTGGTGTGATGGGGACACTGTGGGTGGGGTCGGGCCCGTGGGTGAGTCCATGAAAATAGGAGACAGAGATCTTCAAGTGAGTGAGAAGGGGAAGGCGGGGAGCAGGGAAAGAGGCTGAGTGCGCATGTGCGCGTGTGCACAGGAACTGCCCATTCCCCTGTATACTCTAAGCAGGAAGAGTATGGTGTGGTCTGGGACTGGCTCTTCCCTGCAGTTCTTGTCTGTCAAAAGAGAGCCTGGCAAGGAGTCTCTGACGCTCTTCCAGGCTCCTGATTCTGGAGTTCTAGAAGGAAAGAAGGGGAAAGGGAAGGACGGAGGACTGACTAATGAAAGGCCACCTGGTTTGGTTCCCTCCCAGCTGAGAGGTTTCCTGCTCTTTCTCTTGGGTCTTGTTCTCCGGCAGGAGAGATCACTGCTCTGTTCTCTCTCCAGGATCTTTGTAAGCAACCTTATGTTTGGGGGAACTGTGGACAGTGAGAGGCAGTGGAGATGGGGTAGGGGTGAGGGTTGGGGAGAAGGAATCCAGCAGACTTCTCTGCTCCTTCGATCTCCCAGGAGGTCGCCAGAACCAGTGCTCCATTCAGGAAACAAGGCAGAGCTGAGGATCTCAAGCTGCAGCTTCCAGTAAGGACTCAAGAGGAGAGGAGGCACCAAGGACTCCTGTGTGCTTCCACCTGGGGTGTCCCCAGAGGGGACGCTGGGAGCCACCAGGAGGCAGAGAACCAGGGCAGGCCCAAAGGCACCCTGGGACTTCAAGGCAGGGATGCTCCTCTCCTACCCTAATGGTTGACCGTGGCTGCGAGCAGAGACCCACATGGAGGGAACTTGGAACTGGTTTTACAGAAAGCAAAGGGGGTAAGTGGTAGACCACACTGTGTGGATCTTCAGTGGAACAGTGAGAAAAGCAAGAAGGGCCTGGGTTCAGTGCCAGCTCTGACCACCCTGGCAGGTCGGTGGCAGTCACTTTTCCCCTCTTGCTGTTCCCTCAAGACTGAATGCGTCTGACACCGCCCACCACAGCCTGTGGGAGGAAAGACCTGGGGCCTGAAGTAGAACAAATGTTAGTTCTGGACCTGACTCCCTGGGATCCCAAGAGAAGCCACCCTCTCCATGATCTCTGTACCATCCCACAGGTCTGGATTTTCTGGCCAGGAAGGAGCTTTGGGGGCAAAAGAGGCTTAAAAGTTACACTTCTGCCTGGAGCTGGCCACAGAGCACCTCAGTTCCTGATTCCCTCGCTCCTAGTGGGTGAGCAGGACCTGAGGTATGGTGGGAGCCAGGCCTGGCCCAGGGTCACCAGAGCGGGCAGAAGCCCAGCCAAGCCAACAGCACCCACACTTCCTGCAGGAGGGCACAGCACGTGTCCCCCGAGTCCAGAGCTGCACCCACATGCACAGGACACCCAAAGCACAGTGCAGTGCATCCCACAGTCCAGCAAACACAACTGGATCCACGCTGGGCTGGCACAGCACGCAGGGAAGGAACAGCCACAGCGATAAGGATCCAGGGTTACAGGCATTGGGCAGTTACTCACTCAGTGCCTGGTATTATCCAAAGCCTTGTTCTGGAATAGTTTATTGGATTCTTACGAAGTAGAAACAGCTATGAGGAGACTGAGGGAAGAACTCCAAGGAGATGCCCCTAGGTTACACCAGCGGTCTGGCGCTGGTACTGGCAGGGATGCCCTTCACTTACATTCGTTCAAGCGCAGCACTCTCCCTGCCCCTGACGCCCTCGGACTGGGGCCAGAGAAAAAAGGTAGAGGCTCCAGAGGTGACGGCTGTGGCCAAGGCCACGGGGTCGTACGTCAGTTCCACCCGACCCGCTCCAGGGAGCTCAGGGCGGCGCCGGACGCTCGGTGCCTGTGGACCTAGGCAGGAGCACACTTCGTCCTCCTCTGCCTTTCAGTGGGAAACAGCTGCACCCAGCGGGGTAGATGTGGTTTGTAACCGGTGGGTGGGCTTTGAACCCTTCCAAACAAAACCCACAGCGGGTTTTTTGTTTGTTTGTTTTTGTACCGGGGATCGAACTCAGGTCCCTGCGCTAGCAAGGCAGGCGCGGTGCCACTAAGCTAAATTCCCGGGTCCCAGAGCGGGTTTTTTGGTGTTAATTTTTGGTTTATGGGGTTTTTTTGGGTACCGGAGATCGAACTTGGGACCTTCGGCTTTCGAGACAGGCGGCGGAATCACAGAGCTAAATCCCCGGCCCTCAGAGAGGGTTTTAAAAAAAATTTTTGGGGGGAAGGAAAACACGCCAGGCCTCATTTCTAAAGTCCGAGAAGCCACTGCGCAGACTGTAAATCACCCCGCGACCACGTTCGTTTCTGGGGATCCGCGCTGCGCTTGTTTGTGAAAATGAAACAGCAGATTTGTGAAAACCGTTTATTCTGGATGGGGACCCACTCTGGATCCCAGCAATGCTCTGGAAGGAGCTGTGGGGTAGGGTGGGGAGTCAGTGCAAATTAAAAACGAAGACAGCACAGGACGAAGACGGAGGAGGAGGAGGAGGGGGGGGCAGGAGGGGGAGGAGGAGGAGGAAGAAGAGAAAGTGCAGCGGAGAGAGGAGCCTCAGCCCTGGGAGTGCAGGGCTTGTCCCTTAGGAGCTGGCTCTGCGTCCCGGGCCACCTACCTCCAGCTCCAGGCTTCCTAGGGCGGGGCGGCTGGGCACCCTGGACAGAGTCCATCCAGACCGGGTGGTCAACCCTACCTTCCTCTAGATTGGGTTCTGAGGACAAAAGCGCAGGGCAGGAGAAGGGTGCCCATCTGGACCAAGAGGGCCGTGTCCAGCGGATCCCCTTCTCCGCGCTCGCGTCTCGCAAGGGGATTTTTATTTTTGAAACGGGAGATTTAAAGCAGAGCGCGAGGCGCCCACCCATCCTCCATCCTCGCCCTAGGTAGCCTAGGACGCCTAGCGCGGGGACCGGCTTGCCAAGGGTCCTTGTAGATTTCGGGGGCGGGGCCGTGCTCCATTGTTCACGTCCAGCCAATCAGAGCTCCGCCATCTCGGGCCAGCCAATTCTGCTGCACTCTGGCCTCTCCCACCCCGCCCATCCGGGGGGGGTCCCCCACCCCCGGCCCCGGCGGGGGGGGGCGTGCGTGCTGACGTCACGCGCGTGCGGGCCGGTGCGGAGTCGCCTCCGGGAGGGCCGGGAGTCAGTGCGCGGGAGCCTAGCAGCGCGACCCTAGTCCTCGGCCCTTCCAAGGCGTTTGCCTCGCTCTGCATGGTGGATCTGCTTCTCCAGTGTCCTTTCCCGGGTGCTATGGGGGACCCCTCCAAGAGTAAGTCCCCTGTGTGCGGGGCGGGTGCGTGATACGCTGCATTCTGAATGCAGAAGAGTGATCGGCGGCGGATCCCACAAGTGGCTTCCGTCGGGCACCGGGGAGGAAACCCACGAACGCGCCTCTTCGCAGGCTGCTGCGCCCTGGGATCCAGATTTACGTTGGATGGGGCTTGGGTTCTGCTTCTGTCTTGCGCGGAGGCGATTGGGTATAGTTCAGAGTGCGGGTTTTGTTTGCTGGTGTTTTGGTTTGAAAGGCTGAGAGATTTCTCTGGTGTGGTCTGGGATGTTTAGATCGCGGGTTTCCGCGATGATGCGCGGGGCTGTCGTCCTCTTCAGCCCCCGCGTCCGGTTCGTGTGGTCGCAAACACAGCGGCCCCGCGCTGAGCCCCGCGCTTTGGAGACGAGGCCTTCACAGATCCCAGATTGGGGTTTTCGTTCCGGACATCCCGGGTCCATGGAAAGCTCGCCTTTCCCTTTGGTCGCGATGCTGAGCAAGGGAGGAGAATCGCAAGCGACCGGGCTGGGCCGTGGGACCAGGGCCGGGCCTGACCCGGCGCTGTGCACTCCTCGCAGAGAAGCCCGGGACGGCTATGTGCGTGGGCTGCGGGAGTCAGATCCACGACCAGTTCATCCTGCGGGTGTCGCCGGACCTCGAGTGGCACGCTGCCTGCCTCAAGTGCGCTGAGTGCAGCCAGTACCTGGATGAGACGTGCACGTGCTTCGTGCGAGACGGGAAGACCTACTGCAAGCGGGACTACGCGCGGTGAGCCGGGCGGGTGGAGGGAGGTCCTTGCTGCAGCAGCGCCACGGGGGCGGGGACCAGGACGCTCACCCGCGCCTGCCCGTCCACAGGCTCTTCGGCATCAAGTGCGCCAAGTGCCAGGTGGGCTTCAGCAGCAGCGACCTGGTGATGCGCGCGCGCGACAGCGTGTTCCATGTGGAGTGCTTCCGTTGCGCCGTGTGCAGCCGCCAGCTGCTGCCCGGGGATGAGTTCTCGCTGCGGGAGCACGAGCTACTGTGTCGGGCCGACCACGGGCTCCTACTCGAACGCGCGGCGGCCGGCAGCCCGCGCAGCCCCGGCCCGATCCCCGGAGCGCGCGCCCTTCACCTGCCAGGTGAGCCGGGCTGGGCTGAGCTCGAAGGCAGGGTGCGTAGGTCCAGCGCCGGCACCCTGCCTTCCATGCGGATGCAGAAGCTGCCAGTCGATTCCTGCGGTGACTCGCGTGTGCGGGGCGACGCCAGGGTGCAGGGGCTGGGGGTGGGGTGGGACTGGGGGCCGTAGCAACAGATGGATGAGGAGGAGTCTTGAATGCAGCCTGTCCTGGGGTCCTTTCGGGTCAGAAACGCAGCTCTCACCCGGGGAGCCCTGAGGCCATCGCCGCCCCGTGTTCGGGGTCAGGTCGGGTTTGGATCCCGCACCCAAGCTCGCCCTCCCCAGGGCGCGGCGTCTGCTTAGGAGTCGCCCAGAGATCGTAGAGTGGAGCCAGGTAGGCAGAACACAAGGACAGGACCTCGGGCCAGGTGGCCGCGCAGATTCGTAGGCCTAGTTGAGCCGCTCTGGGTCCTCCCTGAGGATCGAGGAAATCTGGCTGAACAGGCTGCTCATAGAAATTATTCAGACCCTGAAACGCCCACGGGAGACAGAGATCGACACTGTGCAGACCAGGGCCCGGCTGGAGCTGGGCACCGAGCGCACCCGACCTCAGCTCCTGAAGGCCCCTGTGCTGTTGACTGAAGACAGTGAAAGCCCCAAGAGAAGAGACCCAGCCCAGCCGGCCGGAAAGAGCCTATGTGGGCTTGGGAGCGGCCTGTCCGGGAACGCGGGAGCCGAGCGAGGGCAGAGGCCTTGCAGGCTCCGGGCCGGGACGAGGCCTCCATTCCTGGTCGCGCAGGCCGTGATCCCCCCAGAGTCCGGCCGCCTCCTGCCTTGTCCTCGGAAACCCCGAATTTTTCCGGGGGCTTTGAGGGCCAGGAGAGCGCGCCTGGGTCCGGCGGAGGAGGAGTCAAGACGGGGAGCGGGGAGGGGACGGAAACGCAGGCTCTGAAACGCGAAAGAAAGGGAACGAATAAAGGGGAACGAAGCTGGGCGCAGGGTCCCGGGCTCACTGGCCCCGCTGCTCCCTCCCCGGCTCTCCCTACCCGCAGATCCAGCGCCCGGCCGGCAGCCCGCGTTGCGCCCGCACGTGCACAAGCAGGCAGAGAAGACGACGCGTGTGCGGACCGTGCTGAACGAGAAGCAGCTGCACACGCTGCGGACCTGCTACGCCGCCAACCCGCGGCCCGATGCGCTCATGAAGGAGCAGCTGGTGGAGATGACCGGGCTGAGCCCGCGCGTCATCCGCGTCTGGTTCCAGAACAAGCGCTGCAAGGACAAGAAGAAGTCGATCCTGATGAAGCAGCTGCAGCAGCAGCAGCACAGCGACAAGACGGTAAGGGCGGCCCGGGCATCCGCACCCTTACCGGGGGAGGTCGGGCTCTGCACTCCCAGAGTGAGGTCCGGGCCTAGCGAGCAAGGCTTCCCCGGGCCCCTGGTGCCCTAACAACGCGGCGAAAGTGGCGACCCGGGCTCGGGATCCCAGGTGGCCGGGCCGCTTGGCATGGCTGGAGTTGGCCTGTGTCTCCTTGCGCGTGATTCAATGCCAATGCTTGGCCCCGCGCTCCGTGCGGGTCTCACCACCCTTCTTCGGGCCGTGCCCCTGCAGGTTTGGGGACCCTGGCCGGGCAGGGGGCCCTTTCGCGTGCGCCTCCCCAAGCACAGTCCAGGTCGCGCCTAGGGCTGGGGTCCCGGCCTCCAGGAGCAGAAAAGGCGTCACTAAGCCTTCTCCCGCAGAGCCTCCAGGGCCTGACCGGGACGCCACTGGTAGCCGGCAGCCCCATCCGCCACGACAGCGCCGTGCAGGGCAGCGCCGTGGAGGTGCAGACCTTCCAGCCTCCCTGGAAGGCGCTCAGCGAGTTCGCGCTGCAGAGCGACCTGGACCAGCCCGCCTTCCAGCAGCTGGTGAGGATCTGGGTGGGAACTCGGCCTCTTCCAGGCCCAGGGAGGAGGAAGGGGCTCGCGGTGGGGGAGGGGCTGGGTCCCAGGGTGAACGCGCCGGGACCCAGCCGTGGGGAACGGGACCTCGGCTCTGCGTCCTCACTGCCCCCCACGTCTCCTACCTCTCAGGTCTCCTTCTCCGAGTCCGGGTCCTTGGGCAACTCCTCCGGCAGCGACGTGACCTCCCTGTCCTCGCAGCTCCCGGACACCCCCAACAGTATGGTGCCGAGCCCCGTGGAGACGTGAGCGGACCCCCACCGGACCTCGCATGCTCCCCGCATGAGACCCAGCTCAGGCCGCGCCAGCTCGAGTCCTCGCCTTCGTCCGTCATTATTGAGAGCGGACCGAGGGGAAAACCCCGCGGTAAAGCCTGCAAAGCGCCAGGACATAGCCCGCCCACAGCGAGACAGAGATCCCGCTCCTAGGACTTTTATTTTTTCCAAAACCAGAACATGGGACCCACCAGGGTTAGCGCTGCCCCTCTCTCCCGGTGCTCCGCGAGGCCCCGCCCACACGCGGACAGCTTGCCGATTCTGCACTGGAGGAACGGACACACGGCCCACGCGCATGATTGCTGGAAAAGCAGGACTGGACTTTCCTTACACGCGTGTTAAATTATCGGTCGACGGAGGACGGAGTATGAGCCTTTGCCGAACAAACAAACGTAAGTTATTGTTATTTATTGTGAGAACAGCCAGTTCATAGTGGACGAATATTTTGATCTTAATAAAAAATGATAACCTGATGCCAGGCTGCTCCTGTGTGCTGTTGGCGCAGTAAACGGCTGGACAAATGCGGCTCAAGGGTTTGATTTGCTGCAACGAAATTCAGTCTCTGTGGGGTGGGTCTGGGCCTCCAGGTGCTTTGCGCCCCACGTGCTTGCAGGCGCCTTAGGGGGCGGGCCTGGCGGGGCTTAGGCGCCGCGCGGGGGGCGGGCTCAAAGGGGATTGGTCGCCGGTAGGGAGAGGCCGCTGGGGGCGGGGCCGTGCGGTTCAGAGCCCCGGGCCCCTAGCTGGAGGAAGCCCCCAGCACTCCCTGCCTGAGTGTTCTGGCGTCGGGCGGAGGAGGCCCGAGGTGTGACGATCGCGCTTTGGCGGGAAAGCCATAGCACGCGCGTGGCGGCAGCGCGATGGACTCCGGTCTGTGGTCAGGCTTGCGAGGCCCCGCTCTGTGTCCTGGTCCCTGCGCTGTGCTTCGTCACTAATCCCCACCGCCCACCCCCAGTCTAGACGGCGGGCAGCAGCGCCTTATCTCCCGGCATCACCTGCAGGAGACACTGGCCGGCCGCCGGGGAGGAGCGCCACAGAGCCAGCCTGGCGTGTCCTCCGTTTATTTTCTTTCCAGACCCGGAGCGGAGGGGGCAGGGATGGCCCCTGGATACCCGTGTCCAGGTCACTCGGTGTGACATTTCAAACCCTGCGACTTGTTTTCTTGAAAACTGGCTTTAGTGATCGCAGGAAATAACCAGGAGATACCGAATCTCTAGCAGGCCTCGGGCAAGCACAAAAAAACAGGAGGCTCAGGTTTTACCCTTTGCAAATATTTAACCCTTTGAAACCGGGGTCAGTCCTTTCCCAAAACCAGTCCTGGCAGGCGCACGGAGTTGCCAGCCTGGCCACTGCCCCTCAGGAGTCCTTGGCATTGTCTTTCCATTTCCTTGCCCCTGGAGCTAAACGACCCACAGAGCATCCTTCTTTGTTCAGGGTTTGTTTTAAAAGAGGGCACCGCCCAGACGGAGTAGGGGGCTAGTTGTCACCCTAGCTCAGGTGGAGGCGATAAGGAAAAACGTGTTCATCTCTGGGTGCAGGAATGGGCGCCTTCTGTCAGAGCCATGGCTGCTCGGACGGCGGGAGCCACCGGGGTCCCAGGCTCAGCTTTTGGCAGCATTGGGTCACACACCGGCCTGTAGCCTGGCTCCAAATAGGATGGAAGACTTGCTGGCAGTTATTGAAAGCCGGTGGGAAGAGCTGGGAACTGAGTCACCTTTATATTTACTTCCTGAAAGTCAAGGTGATGCTAGCGTAACTATTAAAAGGAACAGTCCCTTCCTTCAGGACTTAGGAAATCTTGCTGCAAACTTAAAAAGATAAGGGAAGAGATACGCTGGGTTAATGAGGACCAGCTTTACCTCTCAAGTGCCCAGAAACGGTTTTAATAACCAGGACTGGGTTCTTTGAGGCTTCGTTCCCTTAACTTAGACCATTTTCTCTGAAACAGACATAGAGATTTCTCCTTTTACCTTTTGGGTGGCTACTGGATAGGGGACTGAACTTCCAATTAAGTTTACTTTTTGAAAATTTTTGATTTATCTATGTTGAGGTTTCTCTTATTGAAAGGAAACAAGCTGGTTCTTGAATAATTTCATTAATCGTTGTTAATTACTTCTGCATTTTTGCTTTTGATGAGCTGCAGTATTTTAAAGCTATGAATAGAAACATCTACCTAATTACAATGATTGTTTCCCTCATCTCCCCTAGATCAAAAACCTAATTCCTCTTTTCAATATTTCCTGTGTCTTGTCTGTGTTATTGTAGCAAACATTCCAGGCTGTTTCTCCTATTAAGAAGCCTTTACCTTCCATCTATGTTACTATATCAAACACCTCAGCCACCCAAGGGCAGGCATCGTTTTCTATGTGGGTTTCCAAGGAAAGGGTTTAATTCTGAAGCCTGATCACTGTGGTCCCTGGTGAGGTGTCAGATCTATGGTTGGTTAGTTACATTAATAAATATCAGTTTTACTGCTTCCCAGGTCATCTTTAAACATCTTCCATAATACAGTAGGGATTTCCCTGTAAATTAAATTACCTGTAACAGTTACAAGTGTTGTATTTTCCGCTAACTGAACTTTTAACATGAGATACCCAGTTGGGTAGTAAAAACTCAATTCAAGAAAAGGGGGGACGGTCCAAATGAATTACTTAGCTAGATTCACTTCAGAATAAGATGTTTTCTCAGCAGACTTATCTAATAACTTGGATAGCTCTATTAAATTGAGTCAGAAAAGGGATTCCCAGAGATGGAAAAGTTTATGGCTATTATACCATACAATTTAATACACCCAAAAAGACTGCCTAATTCTGGGAAAGTCAGAGTCCTTGTGGCAGTATTCCCAATGAACTTTAATATTTAATGGGTATGAAACAAAAATCAGCCTTTTGGTTTTGAATATGGAATAACTTAAAGCTCAGTTTTTTTCAGAGCTGCAAAGACTAGGTTTAAACGAGACATTGACTAAGACTTTTCTAGAAAATTTGTGATTTTGCCACCGCTTTCTAAGGGAGGACTCAACCAGCACACATTTAGTTAGCTGTGTTTTCCCATGTGCGCATTCACTGAAGAGAGCAAGAGAATTAGCTGAGTGCAGCCTGGTGGAGAGAGAAAACAATAGATGAAAACTATTTGCAGAGAAGTTCCCAATGGAGTTGTGATAAAAGCAGGAAATTCAGAGTTTATTAAGCTGATTCAGGGAAGATTAGAGGCTTTTAAACATGGGTCTGATTGATGTAAAAGTAAACTTTCTTGAAAATACTGAGATTCACCACTGCCCGATTACCGCCTAGCACCTTGCTGCTGGAGCCTGCACGGAGGATGCAGATAAACAGAGGCGGACTGGGAGCAAGAGAGGGCGCGGGGTGCCCTTGGGACCCTTGCAGGCATGGCGAGAGCGGCTAGGTCGACCGCGCGCGTGGGGCCCGCGACCCTGGGGGCGGAGGTCGGGGAGGAAGGGGGCGGGAGGCAGGGGCTCCCCAGGGGAGCGAGCGCGGGCCTCGAGGAGTGGTTTCCTCCCGATTATCCGATTACCGGAGCCCGGGAGAAAGTGGTGCTGGAGGGGCAATGGTGAGGCCGGGACCTGAGGCCCTGGGCCGCGGAGTCAAGGCTAGAGAACCAGGAGGCCCGGAACCAGGGTGACGGTCAGGGCCTCAGCCGGTTCCCCGTTTCCCGCCCAAGTCCGGGTCCCGGTCCCACCGCACCCGCTCGCCTCGCCTGCGGTCGCCTGTCGCCTGCCTCAGTGCGGTCCCCATGGACGGACCGGGGATCAGGCTGGACTGGGTCGAACCTTCCGTAGCGGTTCCTCGGCTTTTGGGCTCGAGGCGCAGCGGCTCGGTGGTTTGTGCCCGGCGAACTTCCGACTAGATAAGGAGAGGGTCCCCCACCCCTCTGGGGAGGCAGCGCAGGGACCCCCGTGAATATCTCGACTCAGCTCGAGCTACGGAGCCCGCGCCGGGAGCTGCGCCCGGCCTCCTCCCGCCTCAACCTCCGCACCGTGGCCGGGCGACTCTGGGCCGAGTCGCGGATGAGGTCCCATCCGTGCACACGGGGAGGCCTTCGCCTTTCCCTTTGTTTTTATTTTCCTTTTTTAATCGGACCCCTTTCCTCCGGGTCGGAGACGCAGTGCACAGCACTCACAGCCGCGCCGCGATTCCCTGGCCCAGGTGAGTCAGCTCCGCAGAGCGGCGGGCCTCCTGCACCTCCCAGCTCCCGCGTTCTCGAGCTTAATAGTTTTTCAGATCAGTCCTTCCAGACCGGGTCTGCTTGCCTGGTAATGTTAGATGCTAATCCGACAGAAATTATTACTGATGTCAGTGACCGGTTTAGCCCCCGACCTGGGCTTAGGTGGAGCAGATGTGCAAAGGCCCGACCCAAGCAAGACAATAATTTAAAACTTGTTAGCCGCGGGGACTGCTGTTCTACCTGGCTTTGCTTCTCACAGTGATCTGAAGAAGTCCTCTGGGGTGACCGACGACTCCATTACTCCTCTATTCTGAGAGCGCTTCCACCCTGCGCGCGGGTGGGGGGCTCCGGGGCTTGGAGGGGGTTACTGCCCCAAGGCAGGGCCAGCGGCACATCTCGAAGCCACAATACAGTGCTGCGAACAGCTTGACTCCAAATCCCGGAAAAATCTCAGCGGGCCAACGTTTAATCTTTAATTAAGATGTGCCAGGAGCTGGAATGAACACTTCCCTTTCGAATTTGTATCACCTTATCAGAAAAAGTCAACACGGAAACTAGAATAAGTAATTTTATTACAAGAACAAAACAGACGTGCTAATTTTATTTCTAATTTTGCCCGTTATATATTGCCATAAGGTAGAAGTTAACAAACTCCAAAATACTGTTCATAAGTGAAATAAATTCAACTTGCAAAATTATGAAGGACACTGAAGTATCTACAGTCATTATAAATAGTGCAAAGTATATAGCATATCAACACTGGGGATATAAACAAGGCCAGAGGGTGTCATAAGGAACAGTGAAAATATTAACATGGGTACTCAAATTCAGAGCAGCTAGCACACTTAATTTTTCTCTTTTTTCAAGAAAAACTTTC